ACGAACAAAGGAGAGCAGTGGACAGCCTTTTATCAGGTGAATTTTATACTGTTTCATGCCACCAGAAAAAAAAAAGAAATCTTCACCCCTTCCAATTCACAACATCTGGACAGTAAAAACAGACGGCAAAAAAATCACAGCATAACCATAACACAGCCAATTTCTATCATCTCAGATACCTGGAAGAAAGAAATTCCTTTTTCAATTGCAAATATTTTCTTAGCAGTTTACTCACCCACATGTACATACAAAATCTGTAGAAGTGTTTTCATATGGACAGATCTGACGCTTCCTCCCCACCCCACCCCAGAAAGAATGACGATAACAGCTATGAGAAAGCCAACCAACGTGGTTGATCTGCGCTCAAAATGCTCCTTTTCCTTTACTTGCTTGGAAACATTACAAGCATTTTTACCTAAATGGAGAACTACAGCTAACTGAAATGGAACTCTGAGTCATTCTTCTACAGTTACTGTTATTCTGGGTGGACTTTAGTAGCTGTCTGTAATTTTAAAGAATAAAAACCTCAAAGGAAGCCAATACTTCTGTTCTGAAGAAGAGAGCAGAGCAACTGAAGGTTATGAATACTCAGTCTTTAGGGGATTCTAGAAGTGATATATTTGATCATTAAGTCGCTCTTCATTAAAGAAGAAATGCCGCAAACAAACTAAATAGTTTGAATCTCTGATGAGTTGACTTAAAAACGCTACTGCTTTGGGGCAGAGAAATATGTTGCCTCAATTTCATTATTACCCATTTTCAAGGTCTTTTTAGTACATAAAATCCCTCTTACTGATCCACCCTGTGGATATGCATTATTTGAAAAAACAAAACCACTAAAAACACAGCTTCATTGGGTTATACACTTGCAGTGTAAGATAAACAGCTCTCGCCTCTGAAAGCCTAGTAGCCTTGACACACAGGTAAAGTTAATTGCCTAGTGGGCTGAATTCTTCCTCAACTCCAATAGAAGGGAGCTCCATTACTCCATTAAGGGGTGAATTAGGCTGGTAACATATTAAGAGAGCAAAAATTTTACTCAATCTGTACGCAAACAGCTGGGGTTTCTGACAATGAAGATCAAATGAAATCCAAATTGGTTTTATTCATTTTGTTTTGTTCACTTTGGCAACAAAATTAATCACTTTCTTGTTTAATGAATGGATTTGTTTTAATAATATTATTTTTTCTTTCTTTTTCTTTGAAAGAGAGTGGTAATTAGACCACACACTGGTTTTATGCATGAGGCTGCAATTTGTCCAAGATACCAACTTATCCGGCCAGGAAGTAGAAACAGCCTCACACTGCTGAAGAAAAGCCTTCCACAATTAATGGGAGCACAGCACATAATTGTAAAGCTGCTTAAAAAATGGCATGGGAGCCAGTGCCTAAAATTACTCTTATTCCATTTTCTGAAATCAAGTTGGCTACGTTTCTACTCCTCTGACATGTTTTCTTAGGCAACTTTTGACAAACGCAGAGTACCATTTACAGGGAGCAGGGAAGAGCTCACGAAGGGATCTTTCAACCACCACCACAAGCCATGGCCAGATACTGCGAGCAGTATTCTCAATGCAAGCACCACAGGCAGGCAGGAGTAAGCCCAGAAAATGCATGTTCTATCCAGCTAGTAAGCTAGAAAGTGTATGTGCTATCTAGAAAAGTCCTCATCAGGCAGAAGCTCTACAGTATTAGGGGCTTAGTCACTTCAGAGAACCAAGTCCATTGATTTGGCTGGAGAATTTTTGGTTTCCAAGGACAATCCAATTTACCTAGGTTTAAAAAAAAAATCCTTTAGAGCCTTTGTCAGAGAATCTAAAGATATTCACTTCTTTTTCTTGCAAAAAGTCAATTTTCTTTCTTGACTCACACAGCAACCTATTCCCAGTATTTATTCCCTGCCCAGCTCCTCTAGAGAATAAAGCCAGGCAGAACAAGTTTGGATCAACCCACAGGTACCTCTGAAATGGCAAATGCCGGAGCAGAGCCAGGAAGAATCACAGAGCTCTGAGCAGCTTTTACATCTCCCTGCCTCTCATTTTTTCTTGCTTCCTGTTACAAGTGGGAGACAAGGGAGCTAGTGAGTCGCTGCTTATCGAGCTGTATCCTACAGACAGAGTTGGTGAAATGAGCTCTGGCTTCACAGAAACCATGAAGAAACAAGCAGTCAAAATTACTCTTTCCTCTGTCCTGCAACAAAGGAGGGCTGGGTCAGCCAGGGACCCCAGGGGAGAAGATATCCCAAGAAGGGTGTGAGGCAAGGAAACCCAGCCAGAAACCATGGGCCATAGGTGAGAAACAGGTCCAGAAATGTATTTTCAGCACCTACTCACCTCAACACTATCCCATAACACAACTTCCCTCCCAAGCCATCCTCTGTCCTTCAGGGATGACACAGAGCTTGCTCAGAGCACAGCAGCACCTTTTCACCATCAGCAGCACAAACCCCACAGTTTCCCTGCACATCTCCACTCCTCCTTGACTCTGACCCTGCCATTTTGTGTTTTACTTCGGTTTTCTGTTATAGCCAACTTTTTGCAGAGTGCAGTTTGCTATTATCACTAGAGTAGATTTTTAAAACCCTCCATCTCTGCTTTCAGTATGTTATTTCTCTCTGGAAAGCTCCGGGGGATTTCTTCCATCATTTCAGTGTTGCCTTGGAACCTATTCAGTGAAAATGGCAGAGAGGTGGGAAGGTGACGTTAAAATAAGTTTCCATAGCTTGTAAAGTAATTCTAGAAGAAGCCTTGGAAAGCAACTCAGGAATCACCAGGCACCTGGGTGACTGAACTACTACTACACTTGAAGTGAGAAAGAAACGTTGCACAGTTTCTGCCAGCGTCCATCCCCACGCTCCTGCTGTCTGTCTCCTCTCATCATACCCGTTCCAGAATCCAGTCAGGCTCCTGGTAACCCCAGCCCACTATTTTGTCTGTCTATCCTAGAAATCTCTACGTTTTCCAGGAAAAAAAAAAAAAAAAAAAAAAAAAAAGGACACATTAGGTCAACTGAGTGAGTCAATCAATAACTTTTCATAAATAAAGGTTTTTCAAGCAAGTGCTCCATTTCCAGTAGAAAAAGACTAACAAGGAAAGACATCAACACTATTTCCTACTTCTTTATATGTCTTTCATGGATATTTCTTCCTTTCCCTTTTATATTTACATACTGTTTTTGCTGTACTTGATTGAAACTTAAGCCTGCTGTCAAGATCGATTATGTGGTATCAGCAGAAATGTTCATATGGAAGCCACAATATCGCACAGAGCTAAGTCCTCGGCACCTATGTAAAGCAGAAGGTCATCTAACCTCAAAAAATGCCCATGACAGAAACTCTGGATAGGCTAAGGATTTCTTGGATACAGGTTATCTTGAACCTGCTCCCCCACAGGAGAATTCTGCTCCATAAATTGCTTAAATTGGGCAACATTTGTCTCTGTTTAATATTTGGGGAGACAAAACCAACACACTCATGCACAAGATTTAGTTTTCATATTCAGTTTTCAGAATCAGTCAGAAGAAGCATTTGAGTTTCTTACTCATCAGACCCATTTCTATACTCTTCCTCCCTTAACAGATAAATAAATAAAACCCTATATATTGTCATTTCAACCATATACTTCTAACAGTAAATATTGTTTTGGCTCTTGATGTATGGCTGAGAATTATATTTATGCATAAGCATGATTAGTACTTGAATCAGATTAACAAATACAACACTTCTAGCCACCAAGAGCATGGCCAATTTGATTGTCCCCCAGAGACTGCTATTACTGCCCTTGAGTAGGGGTACTTCTTGCTCCGGCATCTGATCTACTGGCTACCCTCATGCATCTCTGGCTGTCCCGAGAGGCTCCTTTTCTCTAATGCCTTATTTCGAGGCTGCGAGAGCTCGGCAGGACCGAGCAGAAGGGGGCAGGATTTCAGAACTACACAGTACACCTCCCCTAACACTAGGAGGGAATTGTGCTACACACAGACACAAGAAAATTCAGTTTGTTTGAGCCGAAACGGACCTTACTTTTTTCAACCATTCTCCAACATTTCATATACGAACTAAACATAAATATTTCCTCCCTGGCCGATGCTTTTGAGATCCTCCTACAACAGTGACAGCTAGCTGCGTACAGCGGCAATGATGTGGGCACAAATGCCTTCAGGAATTGATGGTAACAATGGCAGGCTCCTAATGCTTCAAAGCTTGAAAGAATTAAGGAGCTCCATTCTCGAAACCAGTATTTACCCAGATAAAAGCTGATTTTTTTTTCTTAGTACCTCAGCTAAGGTACCTACAGCTAAGGTAAAAAAAAAAAAAAGAGGAGGGCAGCAAAGGTGGGGACACTGATACGCAACAGCCCGCTGGTGCTTAGAATGCTGCAACTCTTCTGTTGAGGTCTATTTAGCAAGTGAAAACTTACGATGCCAAAGCGATGGCTTCGGCTGGCTTTTCACATCGGAGTTTTGCGGCTCCTTCTGGGGAGGCGCAACCAGTTAGGCTCTGGTTAGACAGTATCTTGTGGGAAGCGGGAAGCCCCCCCGCTCAGCCCTGACGAACAAGTAGCTCGCAGAGGGGAAGAGCACAGAGAACTTAAGATGGTTCCGGGGTTTGGGGGTGAAGCCCCCTCTGCCGACCCCCCGCCGCAGCTTCGGCATCTCCGCGCTCGCAGCGCCAGCGCCGCCTTCGCCCTGGACGCGGCCGGGCGGCACCGGCACCCGCCCGGCCCCGGGGCTGCCTCCCGCCCGCAGGTGGGCGCGGAGCCCGGCGGAGGCAGCGCGGAGGCTCCCGCCGCCCCCTCAGCGGCGGCGCTGACCCCCCGGGCCGCCCCCTGCCTCCCGCGGGGCTCCCGCCTCGCTCCCCGTGGGCGCGGAGGCGCCGCCGCCCCCGCCTCACGCCGCGCGGTAACGGCCGCCGGGTAACGGCCGCCGGGTAACGGCCGCCGCCGCCGGGTAACGGCCGCCGGGTAACGGCCGCCCCTGCCGCGCGGGCGCTCCGCGCTCACCTGTTCAGCACTTTCCTGAGGCGCTGGCGCACGCTGAAGGAGGAGGCGGCGATGCCGCCGCCGCGGCCGCCGCTGCCGCCCTCCGCCGGCAGGTTCTCGATGGTGGCCACGACATGGTTGGGCTGCGGCGGGTGGTGCTGGTGCTGCGGCGGCGGCGGCGCGGGCGGGTGCGGGTGGTGGCGGTGGCGCTCGGGCGAGAGCATCGCGGCGCGGCGGGGCTCAGCGGCGAGCG